TCTCTCTCTGTGTCTCTCTCTCTCTCTCTCTCTCTCTCTCTCTCTCTCTCTCTCTCTCTCTCTCTCTCTCTCTCTATCTTCTGTCTGTCTGTCTGTCTAATCTGTCTATCTATCCATCTATCCATCCATCTATCCATCCATCTATCCATCCATCTATCGATATGGATGGATGGTATCTATCTATCTATCTATCTATCTATCTATCTATCTATCTATCTATCTATCTATCTACCTATCTATCTATCTATCTATCCATCTATCCATCCATCCATCCATCCATCCATCCATCCATCCATCCATCCATCCCTGCCTCCCTGCCTACCTACCTACCTACCTACCTACCTACCTATGTCGGACCGACACCCCGTCCGATCTGGCTATGGCAACCTCTCACTCTATCCCCTTCTCTGCTATGGGCGCCGCTCTTGCTCTCTTTCTCTAGTTCAGGAAATCACTCTAGAAGCGTCAGCAACGCTCCAACCACAATATGCTCGGGAGAATGTGCAGGCTGATTTTTGTTATGTTGACCAGCCTCATGTTGCTCCCTCGGGCGCTGACTGAGGGCTGAGATCTGTTGGTTCTGTGTGGCCGAGAATTCTAACATGGTCTGAGGTTATCTAGACTCAGTAGGCCCTAGAGCTTTTGGAAACAGTTTTTCAGCCTTTGGATTTGTGTGTGCTCTTTCGCGGTGGTTGACTTCTGGAAAAACCTTTTGACTCTTGGCCTGCACCCAGTCCTATTGACCCTAAGGACTTCCGGATATGCCCTCTTGGCCCTGCAACACGAGTTTTGACCTTGGAACTTGGCCAAAAGCTACGACCCAAAGTCTATCGCATTGGTAGTTTGAATGTGTGGTACTTCACGTTTCTGTGCTTCACCCCGTTTCCTCTATTTTTTTTTCGGAAAACAAAAACCCTCAGGCTCTGGCTCCTTTCCATTTTGGGAGCATCAGTCGGGTCCCTATTCCCCCAGCAAGTCAGAAAAAATTACAACATTTACCCATGCACACTCCTCCCCATTATGGCTGAGAGGCCCGAGTGGATGGCATTGATGGCTTCTCATAGGAAGGATGTACCACCCCTCACCCCTGCGTAAGTTAGCCTCAAGATGTAAGTAAGGACCATGCCTATTTAGCTACCCCCCTCTTGGTTTCCTATTCTTGAATTCTCATACCACGTCACCTCTCTTCTTCCCTGCCTCCTCGAACCATCTCCTATGGTTACATTCCCATGTCTGAATAGTCTCCCTTGCCTCTCGCCGCATCTTCATTGCTCCCTCACTTCATCCAACCATTTTGTTTCTCTTTACCACTGCTCCGTTCCTCCATTCTTCCCTCATCACTCCCTCCCCTTGCTCCCTCTCTACTTTCCTCTTGCTGCCTCCCTCCCTCCCTTCCTCCCTTCCCCTTGCCTCTGCTACTGAACTCGCTCCTGCTGCCCAAGTGAGCTCACTTCGTTGACCAGAGACTCCAAACTTAACAAACACAACCATTCACCTTATTTGTAGGACTTAGATCTTTTGATTTCCTTTGTTTTCTATTTGGAACATGTTTTCCATTTTGAGGTTTTGATTTTCATGTGTCCAATTTTCACATGTTGTCCTGCGGTGGTGTGCTCTTGGCTTTCAGGATGGTGTTTGCTGTGAGCAGGGAAAACTTGATGCTTGTGGCGTTTGTATGGGCACTGCAAGGTAAGCACATGCCAAATAGTTAAAAAGTGGCAAGGAAATGGAAAATGATAGGGGATTAGTCATCATTCCCCTCTCCCATTCTTGTTCCTTTCTTACTTTTTTTCTCTTCCTTTTGGCTATTCCTTTTTTTTTTTTTTTTTTTGTCCGATGGACCATAGATCAGATACTAAACTGATCAATGGTCTTGGGAACATTCTGACCGACGAAGACAAGCTCAGAGATATCCGAACAGGCATGGTGGGGAAAGACATCCCCAAACCCGACATCATACTCCTCCAAGAGACACATCTTTCCAACCTGAATAGTCACCCGAGGATACAGCAGAAGATGGAGAGAGCTATAGGAGGATGTGCAGTCGCAATATGGTCCAACAGAGACGGCCAAAGCAATAGAGGGACARCGATAYTGATCCCAAAAACGTCAAAAATCCTGACCGAAGGTCAGATCCTTAGCAGCGAGGGGGATAGAGAGGAAGGGAGATGGTCGTGGATGGACATTAAGTGGCAAGGTGAGGATCTGCGAATTCTCAACCTGTACGGACCCAACACGGAAGTCGACAGACTGATCTTCTTTGAAAATATTAAACCCCTCATCCCCAACCCACAGCCAGTAATCATTGCAGGAGACTGGAACACAACCCTGGACCCGAACCTGGATCGGATTTCAAGAACGGTACTAATGGGACCTATTAGAGCAGGCACCAGGATTCGGAACCTGATGACCGAATTCGAACTCTGCGACCCCCTCAGGGCAATGCACCCGGACAAGAGAATTTTCTCTCGGATAAGGAGAAACCAAGCCAAGCGGACCTCGCTGTCCAGGACCGACTACTTCCTCATATCCGAGAGCCTCCTAATGTCAGTCAAAGAGGCCGAAATCCTCCCATCAGCAACCTTCAAAGGATTGGACCATAAACCCATCCAGATGCTGCTCAATTTCAATGTGCCAGTTCAAACAGGTCAAGGTTTCTTCAAGCTTAATAATTCACTATTAAAAACTGAAAGAATGAAGACGACAGTCCAAGAACACTGGGCTATCAATAAGCAGCGAGAATCAAGGAGAACAAGTAGTCACCAGTGGTTCATCGATAGCTACACAGAGTTAACACGAACAGTATCAGCTGAATCTAGAGATATTGCTAGAGACCGAAAAAGAAGAAGGGAAAAACTCCAATTCGCCATGGCAGTCGCTGAAGAAAATCTGGTGGAGGACCCAACTAGCAGTTTCTACCAAGAACTACTAGACGACACCAAGGAGGAACTAAACGAATGGAGAAGATGGGAACTCAGAGGTTTACAAATACGGGCGAGGATGACAGACTATGCACTTAACGAGTCAATGACAAAATTCTTCTTCTCCAAAATCAAGGCGAACGCCAGGAACAGCATGATCGAGGCACTTATAGACCCATCGGACTCTGGKAGCACAAAAACAACAGGCCCGRAGATGGTARGGATAGCCARAGCCTTCTACGCAGATCWGTACGAATCCAAGACCCCCTCACCCCCGACAACAACAAACCTAGCAGCCCGCCAGGCGATGCTATCATACCTCGACAGAACCATCTCAACCAATCAGGCAGAAGGCCTGGACAGACCACTGACCCTGGCCGAACTGCACACAGCCTTGAACCAGATGGGAAATGACAAAGCCCCAAGCATCGACAACCTCTCAAAGGAGTTCTGGAGCTGCTTCTGGCCGACACTGGGGGAGGACCTACTCAATTTTTTTAACGAAAGTAGGCACAAAGGAGGCCTAGGCAAGGAGTTGAGCACCAGCATAGTCTCACTGCTCTACAAAAAGGGAGACAAAGAAGACCTGAAAAACTACAGACCTATTTCCCTACTAACCACTCCATACAAAATCCTAGCCAAGGCGCTTGCAAACAGAATCACCAAACTAATGAACAACTGCTTCCACATCGATCAAGCAGGCTTCATCCCAGGTCGTTACATATTAGACAATGTGATGACCCTGAATGAAGCAGCAAAAAAGATCATGGAGAAACGAATGAAGGCAACAATCCTGTTCTTCGACTTCGAGAAAGCCTACGACCAAGTTAACTGGGATTTTCTACACGCATGCATGGAAAAAATGGGGGTAGGCCCGAACTTTAGAAGTTGGGTTAGAATTTTGTACGCAGATGCAACAGAAAGAGTCCAGGTCAATAGAATCCTATCAGAAACCTACCCAATCTCATGGTCAGTCAGACAAGGCGACCCACTGGCCCCTCCCATTTTTCTTTTCATAATGGAAGCCATAGCCTCATTTCTCCGCAAAGACCCATCCATCGATCGCCTCACAGAACGGAACTTCAATCCGTTACATGACTTCGCCCTACCCACTGCACTCATGTTTGCTGACGACCTTACGGTACTCATTAGAGCCAATAACAGCTCCTTCCAATCACTGGTAAGGGCAATGGAAGCATTCAGACTGGCTTCAGAAATGAGGGTCAATTGGAACAAAACCGAAGGCTGGTGGTTAGCAGACCACACCCCTCCCCAACCGCTGGACACAACCATACCCATGAATTGGACCACGGGAGAACAAGCACTACGGTTCCTAGGCATCATGGTTAACAAAGAAGGGGTGTGGCCGTGAATGGGCCAGAATCAGACAGCCACCTGGCCCTGTGCAAAAATGCGCAGGCCTCACTAATCGGACGGGCACTTCTTATCAACACAGCAATCTTCTCTACACTGTGGTACATGGCATCAATCTGTTTCCCCCTCGACGACGACCTCAAGGAGCTCAAAAACAGGGTGAGGTGCTACCTGTGGACATGTGACCCAAACAGAACCACCTGCATCAACAGGGTTGCATGGAACCACATCACCAGGAAGCCACAAGAAGGGGGCCTTGGAATAATCGACCCAAAACAGGAATCCATAGCTCTGCAGATGAAATGGATAATCAAGATTCTCACAAGGCAATCCCTCCCGTGGACCCAAATGGCGCTAGACAGCATCAAAAATTTAGCTCCCATCAACTCCCCTAGAAATATGAACAGGCTGTTCTGGATTATTGCAAAAGAATGGACAATCAAATCCGGCAGACCACGCAGAAGAAACCCCACACAGCACACGCCTGCACAGCCCGTCACAACCCCAATGCACGCAGTCAGCAAATATTGGAGCCCCACCATCAAAGCATGGCGCAAAATGATGCTGAACAAACATGGGGCACCAAGCAACAGAGAAGAAGTCCTGAGACAACCGCTTTTCTGCAACCCCTGGATCACCGACCCCAGCGGAACATCCTGGACCCTACGCTCTCGAGACCGAAGATGGTTGTCGTGGGTAGAAAAAGGAGTTTGGCAGGTCAAACACATCTTGAACGAAGATCAAGGACGGTGGACCACGGATCAGGAACTACGCACCACACTAAAAGGCTTCCACGCCCTCTCCGATAACCTAACACTGATCCAAAATAGCATCCCAACACAATGGCTCCCCCTCCTAAGGGAGGAATTCTCGTGGAAGCCCGGGGACTGGGGCATACTAGTCTCCCAAGCTCAGCCCACCAGGGCATACAGATTTATTGCTAGAACAGACCCACCCTGCTACCTATCTAGATTCCATTCCTACCCGGTAGCGAAACACAACACACATGAAATGGAAGTTCAGATCAACGACCCCCAGTGCGAGATGCTGGAGACTTTCCGTTTGAGAAAAGTTAGGGTATCAAAATCCAAACCCTGTATAATCTTCCGACCGGATCTCTGCATCTCAGAGCTAGAATTCGACCCGAAAGAATGGATATGGAAACAGGGAAACACAGGGAGGACGAGAACAATAACAGACTACGACGTCAAATTCGGCTACGACCTAGGCCTACAGACCACAGACCCAGACCCCAGACTAAAAGATAAATGGAGGACCATTTTGAGTCTGGACCCCTCGACCCCCATAACCATCCCGTGGACCAAATTCCTAACCATTAGACCGGCCAGGATTCGAAGCATGCAATGGCTCTTAGCTCACGCCTCCCTGCCAACCAATCAGTGGCTCCACAAGAGAAGAAAACACACAGACCCCGACAGCACAGAGATCTGCAGACTGTGCACGGACAACGCTGTGGAGGACACACTCCACTGCCTCTTGTACTGCACAGAGGCAACATGGATCTGGAATAAAGTGCGCAGCCTATGGACCACTCTGTTCTCAGCACCCCCCCCGGGCCACAACCCCCCTGAACATCCTGCTCCTTTCTAACGACACTAACAATCTCAGAGGAGGCAAAGATGTATGGTTCCACCTTCTCAAAAAGTTGGCGCTTTGGGTAATCTGGAAGAGGAGATGCTCCAAGACGATCGAAGGAACAGAGATGCCAAGAGAGGAAATGTGGGTCTTACTGCTGAGAATGGCGGAAACAGAGATTCGCTTCAGATGGCGAGAATTATCCATGACGACGAAAGGCAGACCAGAAAGGACAGCCTCAAAGAGACGAAAATTCATAAGAGACTGGCTCATACAGGGAAAGATTGCCACAGTGGTGGATAACAGAATGGTGTGGAAGAAGTGGCACAACGCAAGAACAGACAACTCTCCCCCTTTTCTTGCTTTTCACGTAGTTTCTGGCAGAATCAGTACAGATTCTGAGAGGAAAAGAGGTAGGGCATGCTGACAGTCAATCCTCCTGACAAGGAGCAATCAATGCTGGTCAGGGTTCCTTCGGCCAGACGGAAGGAAGCGTGAGGGTGTTCACCATGTATTTCATTCTTGACTTGCCGGTGGTAAGGAACCGGACTGACGCTCCCCAGAATGGATACGGAGCCAGGACCATAAGGACCTGTTTAAACAAAACAAAACAAAACAAAACAAA